CCCCGTCAGTCTTTAGCAACTTTAAATAAATTTAGTAATGGAAAAGATGGGAACCCCCTTTCATTCTTTCCTCCGGTGGCATGGTGGCTAAAGTGACTGGATCCCACATGGCTGACTGCATGGTTCAAGTCCATGATCTGGTGGCTTGAAAAACATGCCAGGCGTGTGTGCATGCATACCCCAAATCCTAAAAGGAGAAACAGATTAGAAGGGATTGTGACCTGACCATCCCCCATGGGTGTGTGTGTGTGTGTCGTGTCTGCTTTCTCTGTCTCTCTGACCAGTGCAGATGCTCTCTAGTAAGTTTAAAACAAAATAAAACAAAACAGGTGTGGGGCTGCAGGTGGCATGGTGAAGGAGCTAGACTCCCACGAGCACAACTGGTTTGATTTGAGGTTTGATTCCTGGACCTGGCAGTTTGAAAATCATGCTAGGTGCATGTGCACAAATGCCCCAAATCCCAGGAGAATGGAGGAGGGGATTGCGGTGTGTATCCCACCCCCACCCTCCCAGCCCCATCCAGGAGGTTCTCACTTTCCCTCTCACTGTCTCTCTAGCAAGTGCACATGCCCTATGACCAAAACCTTAAAGAAAAAGAGGTATTGTGCACCAACTACAAAAGGAAAAGAGAACTCTTGTGTTGAGTAATTATTATATCAATTAAAACAAACACCGAATCCATTAGGTGGAGCCAAACAAGGATGATGTTATTACATGGGGGCAGAGGGCTGGTGATGGCCCTATTGGGATGCTAGGCCCAGGGCAGAATGAGGAAGGTGTAAAAAATAATACAGGTGGGCCAGTGGGTGGTGTAGTCGTTAAGGCACTGGCCTCCCACGTGGCCCACCAAGGTTTGCGTTCTGGACCTGGTGACTTGCTTTCTCACTTTTTCCTCCCTCTGGCAAGTGTACATGCCCTGTAGCAAATAATAATAATTATGATGATAAATAAAATTAAATCATTCTTAAAAAAAAACAAGGCAACAGAGGCTCATGTAGGTGGGTTGTAAAAGACCAAGAGGGATGAGGGCATCCACGTGTGGGTGGCAAAGGACTGGCGACCTATGAAGGTACTGCCCCAATAGATAAGCATATTAAGAATCATGAGACCCAGGTTCTATATAGTTGGAAAAAGGAGTTGAAAAGCACAGAAGGGGAGAAAACTAGAATAAATACTGTAGTGTTGGATTGGAACCAAGGTACTGAACTGAGTTTTCTTTTTTTGGAGAGTTTTGCTATAGGGCATATGTGCTCACCGGGTGGGTTTGACAGCCATGCTGCAATACCTTTTCCTCCATTCTCCTCATGATTTTTTTGAGAGGTTTTTCCTATAGAGCACATGCACTCACCAGAAAGACAGAAAGCAAGAAATCACCCCTAAGGGGAGTAGGCCACGCCGCAATCCCTTCTCCTCCACTCTCCTCTTGGGATCTCGGGCAGGCATACACACGTACCTGGTATGACTTTAAGCCTCTGGGTCTGGGACTTGAACCGCAGTTGACTATGTGGGAGTCCAGCAATGTAGCCATTACACCATCTGCTGGTCCCTTCTATCAGGATTTTGGGCACGCACATACATACACCCAGTGTGTTTCAAGCCATTGGGCCCAGGACTTGAACTGCGCAGTTGACTATGTGGGAGTCCAGTAACAGAACCATTCCACCAACCGCTGGTCCTATGAGCTGAGTTTTCAACATGTATGAACATAGCTGTAAATACGTACGTGTGTACACTCCTAGCTCTATTCATTGGGAAGGCTGAGAACAGGCCGACAGCAATGGGCCCACTTTGTGCTCAGTTCTTGGGTTTTTAAATACCTCACTACAGCAAAAGAAACCAGAACTAATGGGAGAAAAGGCTGGGTCCAGATGGGCAGAGAAAGTACAAGATGAGCTTAAAATAACTTGTGTTTGAAGTACTCAGAGATGTGTCAAAAGGTAAGGGAGTTAACAGGTGGTGTAGTGGTCAAGGCATAGGACTCCCACATGGCGGACCACAGTTTGAGTCCTGGACTGGGTAGACTTGAAATTCTTGGTAGGCGTGTATGTGTGTGCGTGCCCAAGATCCTGAGAAGAGAAGAGAAAGGATTGCAGTAAGGACACCCCATATGGGGGGTGACTTCTCACTTTATCTCTCTCTGTCTCTGTCCCTCTGGTGAAAATGCATGCCTTATAGCACAAATCTCTCAAAATTAAAAAAAAAAAAAAGTTTGAAGGGCCTCCACTAGTCAAACCTGGGAAAATATATTATTTAAGTAACTGCAACAGATTATAACTATTGAACAAAAATCTGAGTCCACATTGAGGTAAGTTAACAGGGATAAGAGAAAGCCTTTTTTTTTTTTTTTTTTTTGGATAGGTTTTTGCTTTAGGGCACGTGTGCTCACAAGACAGATAGAGAGACAGAAAGCAAGAAATCACCCCCTGGGGGGATGGTCACGCCGCAATCCTTTCTCCTCCATTCTCCTCTCGGGATCTTGGGCACGCACGCACACGCACCTGGCGTGAGTTTTAAGCCACCAGGTCCTGGATGCGAACCTGCGGGCGACAACATGGGAGTCCAGCAACATAGCCATTATGCTAACTGCTGGTCCCAGAAAGCCTTTCTTATAGTAAACTGCTGACCAATAAATGAAGAAGGCCTGGTGAAATCAGAAATCACCATCTGGCAACTGTGACAGTAGCAGCCAAGAAACAGTGAGATACTGAGAGTAGAGGGTTAACGTCTGATGCGGGACAGGGTATACGGTCTCAAAGCACTTCCCTACAAAGTACTTCTTTATAATTTTCATGGAGAAATTTGGCAAGGCACTTCAATGAAATGACATCACAATAATGGGAAAATTCAAATCATGTATTACACAGCATCACTTTTGATATTCGTGCCAGAAATGCATAACTTGAACCAAATAATGAGCAAACACCAGCTACAATTTAAATTTAGAGTGGCCTACAATCTTAAAATGTCAAGGTTATAAAAGCAAGTCTGAAGAATTGTCAAAGACTGAAGGAGATGAGGCCTAAGTATTAAATGCAACTCAATGGTATTCGTGTGTGTGGGACCATCGGGAAAATCTGGCGTGTCATGGTTCCATGCATTTCCACTTGTGATGGATATATGTGGACATATAGAATGTCTTCAGTTACAGAAATTACACTAAAATATGCAAGGGTGTTGGGACATCATCTTCTAAATTCCTCTTAAATGTCCTAGAAAAACAAATATTCGCACAATATTCCTGTATTATAGTTTTTTGCAAGTTTGGAAGTAAGAGAAAAAAAAAGTGAAAGCCAGGCATCACTTTGAATCTTAAAGTTCTTTTTCTTTTTGGAAATTATCCTTGTTTTCTGAAATTTTAGGCTACTGAAGAGAAATATTATCTGTGTCTTGTCACATCTCCACATATACAGGTGAAATAATAAAGCAATTGGACAATATTTGAGTTGAAAATCCAAAATGTGGTTGTGCCAGCTGGTGGTGTGGAGGTTAAGGCACTGGATCCCACATGGACAACCACACAGTTCAAGTCTCAGACCCAGCAGCTTGAGGAACATGTCAGGCACATGTGTGCATTCCCAAAATCCCAAGGGGAGAATAAAGAGAGCGGATGCAGCGTGGCCAACCCCCTATGGGGAGATTTCTTACTTTCCCTCTCTCTGTCTCTCGCTGGCAAATGCACATGCCCCTTATAGCCAAAAGTAAACAAGAAAATCCAAAATGTGGAAATTATTAAATATTTAAATTCTTTATTTACTAAAATTAAGAATATATCCTCTAGCTATATGGATCAAGAGGGAAACATGTTAGTGGGGGAAAAAGAAAATAAAGAAATTGACATGAATGATAAATCGCAGAAGTGATGTAATGTTGCTAAAATGAAGTTCTCTCAATTCTTTTTGTGTCATTTAGGAGAATAAAAAATTGAGGTTTCTTGGGTGCCCTGGGTGGTGTTTGTCCAGCGTGTGACTATCTACAGCTACAGCCGGACTAGGGGCTGCTTTCCGCAACTTGGGTGCCTTGTCCAGAGCTGAGGTGTTAGGCTTGCTAACCTACGGGGTGCACAGTACTCAATTTCTGGATGCTTATGGGAAGGAGCTCTTAGAAGAGGTCAGCAAGCACCATTTCTTTCACAGTCTGGCACCGTTAGGGTGCCCCACCACAGAAAGCCCCTCTGGGCTAGTCCTGCTAGCTTCTGGAACTGCCTTATTCTGCACCACCTTTTACTACCAGGCTCTGAGTAGTGATCCCAGCATCCAGACTTTGGCTCCTGTGGGAGGGAGCCTGCTTCTCTTGGGCTGGCTTGTTTTGGCTCTTTGAGCTGACTTTTGCATAATTACTGGGTTTTCTGGGTAATTTTTTGAGAGCTGGAGCAGCAAGGATGATTAAAAGAGAAAGGCAGGGCCAGCAGGTGGCATGGTGGTTGAGGTGCTGGAACTCCCACATGGCCAACTATGGTTCAAGTCCTGGACCTGGCAGCTTGCCTTTTCCCTCTCTCTCTAGTAAAACTCATGTGGAAAAAATAAAGAAATAAGTAAATAAAATAATTCTTTAAAAAAAAGAGAGGGAGAAAGGCAAAGAAAAAAATTGAGCCAATTTTGCTCAAAGTGAAAACTCTTTTAATTTTCTAGGCACATTTCAGAAGAGCAATGGTGCTTAAAAATTTCATGGAACAGGGTTAGTTGGTGGTTTGGTGGTCAAGGCAGCTGGATTCCATAAGTATAACTGCATAATTCAAGTGCAGAAACACTCTGAGAGAGACAGAAAATGAGAAATCACCCCCCGGGGGGACAGCCACACTGCAACCCTTCTCCTCCATTCTCCTCTCAGGATCTTGGGCATGCACATTTGCCAGCATGAGTTTTAAGCCACTGGGGCCAGGACTTGAACGGCAGTCAACTATGTGGGAGTCCAGCAATGTAATCATTATGCCATCTGCTGGTCCCCATAGGGGCCATTTTTGAGTCAGGAAAACATTCTAAGACAAGTAAGACTCTCCCCAACTTGCTTCTCCAAAGTCTTGGAGATTTTTATTCAGTTTTGTATGTATCAGTTGCAATTGCCCAGTCCAGGTAATTTAACGTCATCTATAGTAAAATGACACACCATATATCACTTTCATATGGGAATAAATTCTTGATGTTTTTAAATTCATGATTCCTGTAAATAAAATTAGTTATAGTTATAAATTGGGAAGGTAAAGATTTCAAAATGAGAACTTAAGTATATATTAAAGGACTTCACAATTGCTACAATCTCGATAAAAAACAGTTTTTCTGGGGCCAGCCCTGTAGGTCAGTGGTTAAGGGATCTGGATCCCATGGTTTGAGCTCCCACTTAGGCAGAATGAAAAATACACCAGGTGTATATGTGCCAAAATTTTGACAGGAAAGAATAAGGATTGTGGCATGATCATGCCCCATTGGGAGAATGCTTTCTCCCTCTCTGGCCAGGGTATGCACCCTCTGACCAAAAAAGGGCAATTTTCTCCCGGTTCAAGGTTCATATCTGTTTAAATCCTTTAAGTGTTCAACATCAAGACACCATTTATAGACAATCTCTTTAAAAAAATCCCCCAAAGCGAGCTTGCAGGGTGTCAGGAACAAGTGTTTCTTAGCTGGTGTTGCACAGAAGAGGCTTGCGATATTTGCACTGGATCCAAACTCGGTACATGGTCAGCTGCTTCCCTCGGTTCACTTGCAATCGGCGATCTACCAGGTTTTGAACCTTTTCTAGTCCAGCAGTAGTGAAAAGTGTGTCCAGTTCATCTGGTATGGAAAAGACAAGACAAGCTGTTACTACATATTTTCAGTGGCTTTGGTGGGGCCATTTTTAGTCATTAAAGTGATGACGGTTTGGTAACACTTTTATACCAGCAGGGAAAACCCAAACCACGTAGGAAGGAGAGGCTGGAACCCGGAGGGTAAACTCTGAGTTAGCTGTTGGGAAGAAATTTTTGAGAAGATAAAAGCTGTATGCCAGGGACCAGCAGATGGCATAATGGTTATGTCGCGGGATTCCCATGTAGTTGAGTGTGGTTTCAGTCCTGGACCCAGTGGCTTAAAACTCAAGCCAGATGTGTATGCATGCATGAGTGCCAAAATCCTGAGAGGAGAATGGAAAAGGGACTGCCGTGTGGCCCCCCCGCCCCGGGTGGTGGTGGTGATTTCTTGCTTTCTGTGTGTCTCTAGGTGAATGTATGCACCCTATAGCAAAAATTTCTCTCAAAGAAAAAAAAAACGCTGTATGGCAGGATGCCAGTATATTTCTAAATTTCTGGCATATACTTGGCCTTTAGGGCTCGATGAACAGCTTAAAATTACATGTAAAAATCTACACATACATATGGTGAAGAAATATTTTAAGGGGAGAGGTTTATCACTTTTTTTTTTTTGGAGAGATTTTCGCTATAGGGTGCGTGTGCTCACCAGACAGGCAGAGACATAGAGACAGAAAGCGAGAAATTACCCCCCAGGGGGATGGTCACGCTGCAATCCCTTCTCCTCCATTCTCCTCGCGGGATCTTGGGCACGCACGCACACGCGCCCAGCGTTGAGGTTTAAGCCACTGGGTCCGGGACGCCAACCGCAGTCGACTGTGTGGGAGTCCAGCAACATAGCCATTACGCTAACTGCTGGTCCCGAGAGGTTTATCACTTTAATCAAAGGCTCAAAGTGTGTGATCTGGAGCCAGTCCTATGGCCTCGTGTTTAAGGGAGCCAGGTCCCACATAGCTGTGGCTGGAGTCAGCCCTGGCATCTTGAGGGACATACTAGGCATGTGTGCCTGTGTGCTCGAGGTCCCAATGGGATGGAGAGATGGAGAAGGGATTGTGTTGTGATCGCACCCCACGGGGGTATGCTTTCACTCATCCCTTCTCTCCTGGAGAGCACATGTGATCTGGTATGGGGCTCAGGAATGCAGAATTCCTAAGGCACTGGTGGAGGATGAAGTCTGGGACAGGGCTAGAGAGGTCGTAGGTTAGACCTGGAGCACAGGGAAACTGACTCATCCTAACATAAGTGTGCCTAAGCATAGCCCAGCTGCATTGGAGACAAATCTCCCAAAAAGTGCAGGTTTCCCATTTTGGACGAAGTGACAAGAAGGAGGAGCAAGCAGCTGGCTGAAGCACACTCAGGCCAGTGCTGTTGTGAGGCCAGGAGTGGGTTCACGTTGGCTTGCGGGCAGGGTGTGAGGGATGCTGAACCACAGGAAAATGACTGCCTAAAAGGTAGGAGGGGTTAGGTGATATTCTTCTTAAAAGCACACCAAAGACAATCTAATCTGCACCTTTAGTATAGTTTTCATACCTTGTGTGAAGAAGTAAACTCTGGTACCATCACCTCTCACATAGAAATTTCCAGATAGACACTGACCTGTAGTAACATGGTACAAAACAAGAGAAACTGTAACTTGGTACATGGCAGGAATCTGAAATCTCTCCCCTAGAAAGCAGTGGTACTTTGAAGAGAGCAACTCACAGGGAATAATCAAGCTCCATGTCAGGAAACATGACATTCTCAGCTCTCCATTCTACAATTCTGTTTGATGAAAACAAACACTTTACTTTTTAACCCCATACCTGATTAAATTAACAATACAAATTCTGTTAAATGGGGGAAAAACAAAACAAAACAAAACAAAAACAAAAACCAGGACAGCTAGTGGTGTAGTGGAGAAGATGGCTGGATTCCACAGGGCTGACTGTGATTCGAGTTCCACACCCAGCAGCTTGAAAAACACGTTGGGCATGTGTGCGTGTTCAGAATTCCAAGATGAGAATGAAGGGGAGGGTACTGTGGCATGGCTATCCTCCCTGGGGGTCCTTTCTCCCTCCCATCCTGTCTCTCTCCTGCAAGCACATGTGCCCTATAGCAAAAGGAAAAAAAAAAACGTGATATAGCTGAGTTTAAGGAAGCCTGATATGGCACCATTCCCATTTTGGTGACAGTCCTTTCACATGTCTCTCCAGGTGTCCACATGTACATTCATGATGTGATGACTCATATACTGCTTTCTCGGACATGCTTTTCTTTCTGCTGCAAACACCCCACCCTTACCTCAGTTTAACAACCTAGCATGTCATCTTTCTACACTTTTCTGAATGTCATTCTAACCACGCACACACATTTATTTTTTCTCCCAGCAACTTGTATACACAAGAACAAGTTTACAATGCTCATCTGCACACTGGTTTTCAAACTCAGTGATACAGAGTGGAAATCCCACCAAGACCAGGACTCTAGGGTCTACTTCAGGCAACATGCACAACAGCCCTCTATCCAGAGGCATTCAGTTTGTTTTCGAGATTTTTGCTGGGGACCAGCAGGTGGCGTAGTGGTTATGTTGCTGGACTTCCACCCGGCTAGCTGCAGTTCAAGTCCCAGACCCAGCAGCTTGAAACACACCAGGCACGTGTGAGTGCATGCCCAAAATCCTAAGAGGAGAATGGAGAAGGGACTGCAGATGGTCATCCCTCCTGGGTGTGATTTCTCACTTTTTGTCTCTTATCTCTCTAGTGATCACACGTGCCCTATAATGAAAATCACTCCAAAAAATAAAAAACTAAAAGATTTTTGCTTACATGTATGTGTGTGTTTGTGTGTATGTCTCTCTCTCTCTCTCTCTCTCTCTCTCTCTCTCTATATATATATATATGTTATTTATCAGGCCGGCGTGAGTTTTAAGCCACCGGGTCCGGGACGCAAACTGCAGTCGACTACATGGGAGTCCAGTGACATAGCCATTATGCTAACTGCTGGTTCCCAAAATACCTTTTTTAAACCGAAGCTGTGCCATGTCATAGCGGCCATAATCTCGTAGAAGCATCATCCCTCCAGGCCTCAGAAGCCTGCTCAGCCTGGTGATGGCCTTCTGCATCCTGTGGGAGAGCAGAGAACAAAAATCAGGTCTCCTTAAGGACAGGGTTTCTTTCCCCCACAGCTATTGCTAAAAGCCAGTGGGCTTTCTAATTCTGGCACACCAACCCAGTAATCTTAGCTCTTCTGTCCTGCTTTAGTGAGACCTGGAGGAATGTTGGCCACCTGCTCTCAACGGTGGCTTCGACCCAGTGCCTTCAGTATGAAGAGGCCTGAGGATAGAGGCTTCTGCTGCAGGGCCCCCTTCGGGAAGTTCCATGCTCCCCTGTTGACCATGCAAGGACTAACCAGGCCAACACTGCTCAGCTTTGCCATCTTATCATAGCTCTGATGCTGCAAGTGGGCAGATGTTTGAAGTCTCCAAGAAGCTATCCTAGTCCATGGCTTCAGGGTATGCTTGCCCAAAAGCTGGCATGTGCCAAGCCCCTGGCCTCTGACTCACTCATGTCAGACAATAACAAGGGCTTCTGTGACCTGAGTCTCCCAGCCACCCTCTCTCAGATTCTGTTTCCTTCAGACAGTTGTTTCCTAGGACTACTAGTTGCTAGATCCAAATGAAATTTTTATGGTATCTGTCAGGATATAACATTCCATTTTCTTTTCATCCTAACTTGGTTTTATGAAATCCTGTATTATAGTTTCTTAAAAAAAATTTAAGCATCAGCAAACCGTTAAGTTTCAATGTAAATCTTGTGCTGTTAATAAGCATGCTTTATTTAAAGCATTAAAAAGGCAAATACTGAAATGTATCACATAGCCACTGCACCTTCAGTTCTAAAACAGCATGCTGGGAGATCGCTCATCGGGAATTTCCCCACGCTCAGTGAGGACCGCTCCCCGGCCCCGCACACGTCAGAACAGAACAGTGAAAAGAAGAAGCCACCACAGCAGACAGTAGGCAGAAGTTCAGAGCAGAAAGAGAAGTTAGACTTTGAGACGAACTTAGGAAAATGGCTGAAATTCTCAAGATGGTGCAGTTTTCTTGTGTCTATCAGAACTCAAGGTAAATCCTTTTTATTTAGGCCTCAGCTCTGCCACCAAGCTCCCTGACCAATGTTTTGCTTTTGCTATGCTTGTGGCTGAGGGATCTAAAACTTACTTGTCTGGAACAATTGCAGAAAGAACAAATATGAGAATGATGATATCGAGGCTGTTCCAGGGCATGGGGTAACTCTGTTCTTCGTCACACAGGTCATGAACAAAGGCAAAACACCGAGAAGGATCATAGTCAGCATTTGTCTGCAGATAGTTGGAAGAAACCAAGGTGCCAGAAAATGTTAGCACAGCCTGAGAAAAGTTTCTCTTGCTTTAAACATAACCGCTACCTTCCTCAGAGGGCTGTATTTCTAATCATTATAGTATGTTTTTCCAGGGGGAATCAAAGTGTAAGAATCAGGAACAACCCAGGTAAGAGCCTGTGAATTCTAACTGGGGCTCTTTAAAATGCAATGTTCCCAGGTCCTCCCTGTGACCCCGGGAGCCAGATGCCACTTGATTGATTACACAGTTCAAATCTTGGCCTTGGCAGTTTGAAAAATATGTCAGATATATGTGTATGTCTAAAATCCCAACAGGATGGAGATTTTATGGAGAAGGGATTGTGGCACCGTGGAGGTGTTTTCTCTCTCTGCCTCCTGGCAAGTGCAGGTAATCTATGGCAAAAAAGCAAGAAACATTACATATTCTCCTATTTTTATTCTGATGTACTTTCTGTACTTCTCATGCATGAAGTCAGACCTGAGGACTGGAAAATTATCAGGAAGATAAGTGACCAACAGAGAAAAGAAAAATACCTCTTAAAAAGAGAGAGAGACAAAACACATTTTAAAATGATTCAAAAGAATTCCCAACTACAGAAAATTACACAGAAAATAAAATTCTCTAAGAAAATCTCTTTCTCTAGATATGGAAAAAGTAACCTATACTTGGTTATCATAAAAATTAAGTAAAGAAAAGCCTCAAAATTCACCTGGTTTCAATGGAGAAGAATGACTAATTCCAAAGAGAACCATCAATTCCTGAGCTCCTAAGCATATACCTGATTAAACATTTTTTAAAAAGAATTATTTTTATTCATAATTATTAACATTTTTAAAAAATTTGACTAGAGCGATGGAGAGAGAAAGTGAGAAAGCAAACCACCAGGTCTGGGACTTGAATTGTGGTTGGCCAGGTGGGAGTCCAGCACCTTAACCAGCAAGCAACCGGATGGCCCCCATACCTGGTTATAACAGACGCATCCTAGGACATCTTTCCTCACCATGTCCTTCACTAAAAATGTCCTTGTTCCCCTCTGAACAGTTGACTCAAATTGAGCAAGCTCTATCAGTTGGGCTAAGTCAGCCGAACTGTTTGCAGGGACTCTGGAATTGGGACATAGTCATTTGGGTATGGCTTGATGAGCACCTGAAGGGGGTGGACTTACAAGGACTGGGAGGGACAGGACTATCAGGGCCACATGCAAAACCAGGAAAAACCTACTAGAGAACCCTGATTTGTACACAGGAAAAGAAACACAACATGCAGGCAATGGGCAACAAGGTAGGACACCAACATTCTAGAAGGGGTGTGATAGTGAGACAGCTGGCAACATCAGGCCAGCCAGCAGGCTTGCCTTGCTATGTGACATCTTTTCAGGGCTGGGTTCTATTTCTTCCCCAAGCATGGTTTATGCTTTGTGCCCTGATATTTAATGACATTCACCTTAATTGAGTTTGTTTAGATTTTTCTGTTACTTATAACTCAACAAATCATCTCACTTCAATCCTTATGTTTTTATCATATTCTTCGAGGCTGCCCCATGTAGAAAGGCTCTGGTGTCATGTCTGGAGATCTTCCCAAGCATGTTGGGCAAACATATGCCTGAGATCTGGCGGAAGCTGGGGAGGGACTCTGGTGTCAAAACCCTGTTGGGATGCTGTCTCTCACTCATGGAATAAGTAAATTAAAAGAAGCCTCCTCGGAGTTCCACATGTGGCAGATTTAGGATACATGCCTCTAGGTTTGTCAGTAAGCCTTTTACCTTTGTAATATACCACAAGACAGCTAAGAACATAGCCAGAGGCCTTGATTTTTAGAAGACTGCTTTTCTTTTCTTTTTTTTTAGGTTTTTGCCACAGGGCATGTGCACTTGCTAGAGAAAGACGGAAGGAAGAAAGGAAAGTGAGCAATCACTTTCCTGGGGGGACAGCCATTCTGTAAGCCTTTCTCCTGTATTCTACTCCTGGAATTTTGGACATGCACACACATGCACCCAGTGTGATTTTCAAGCAGCTAGGTCTGTGACTTGAACTGTGGTTGGTCATGTGGAATCCAGCACCTGACCTACTAAACCACTTGCTGCACACCCTCCCTTTCCTATAATCAGTGAAAAATACTGATAGGAGCCACTATGCTTACCTGGACCAGTTCTATAGCTGTGGATGAAAAATCACAACAGTACACAAAGAGTCCTGGGTCACTGAAAGGGGAAAAAAACCATCAGAAAAATAGCAAAATTGGGCTATGTCTATTTTCTTTCTTGTGTAGCAGAGTTAAAGTATCAAATGGCGAATACTATTCATTTAAAGAAATCACACCTGTTCGTTACAAAGCATTTCATTTCGGTTAAAATCCGTTTTTGATCTATATTCTCATTTAGGTCTTGTAGATGTGGCTAGCATTATCAAATGATCAGTGAGTTTCAATATAATATTCTTTCTTTTAGAAAAAAGAATTATTTGTTAATTACTACTTTAATTTGCATGAGCGCATGAGAGAGAGGGAGACAGAGAGAGAGAGGAAGTGAGAAAGCAAGTCACCAGGTCAGGGACATGAACTACAGTTGGCCATGTGGAAATCCAGCACATTACTCACTACAACCACCTGCTGGTCCCACGATATTCTTTTTCTACATACGGAAATCATAACTTTCCTTCAAATCAAGCCTTGTCTGAGGGTTCCATGAACATTTTGTATCTTTTCTCTGCACTACCTTGGCATCCTGTCCTTGCTGGAAAAAGACCTGTACTTGTCTGTCTGTCCCTACCACACAGTGCGGTAACAGCCAAGATGACATTTTTCACTTATTTGTTCACCACTCACAGAGGCTCCACGTGTGTTGGATAGTATTTTAGATGCTGGAGAGAAAAAGATTCATAAGACAAAAATGTCTGCACTGGGTAGTACAATCAAGACTAGAAACAAAGGAAGTTGAACTGTTCAGCGCGAGAGTCACTAGCTATTTACTGACCATGAGTGACCGTCATAAGGCACAGCAAAGATACAGAACATTTCCATCACTGAGAAAGGTCTCTTGTGCAGCACTCCTCTAGAGAGGGGGGACCAAGCCTGTCCTGTTCTCTCTTTAGTTTTTGCTATAGGGTGTGTGCACACATGTGAGAGAAGGTGCACAAAAGAAAGAAAGAAATCACTTCTCAAGGGGAATAACCATGCCTCAATCCCTTCTCTTCCATTCTCCCCTTGGAATTTTGGGCAAATATGCACATGCACCCAGTATGTTTTTCAAGCCTCCAGGTCTGGGACTCAAAATGCCAAGTCAGTCATGTAGATCCAGCCTCCTTAACCCCCACACTACTAGCTGGTCCTTGTCCTGTTCTCTAATCAGCCTGTCAGCTCTGTCTGCTGAGTACTCACTATGGACATGTGCTAAGTTCTAGCAGATCCAGCTCTTGCCCTTCAAAAAGGGACTAGGACAGAAAAGGTCATTAACACTTTACTCAATTACTCACACAGAGGAAGCACTGGAACAATACAAAATATTAACAGTGGGTTATCTTTAGAGAGTGGGTCATGGGACCAGCAGTTGGCGCAATGGCTATGTCGGTGGACTCCCATGTAGTCGACTGTGGTTCGAGTCCCAGACCCGGTGGCCTAAACTCATGCCGGGTGAGCGTGCGTGCATGCCCAAGATCCCAAGAGGAGAATGGAAGAGAGGGGACTGTGCAGTTCTAGTGCTGTCCCCCCCGGGGGGTGATTTCTCACTTTCTGTCTCTCTGTCTTTCTGGCAAGCGCACGTGTCCTATAGCAAAAACCTCAAAAAAAAAAAAAAAAAGAGTGGGTCATGGTCTTTACTTTTCAAGAAAAAAAAAAATTTGCTAGAGGGAACGTGTGCCTGCCATAAAAAGAGAGATGGAGAGGAGTGAGAAAGTATCCCCCAGGGGGATGGTCACACCACATTTCCTTCTCCTACATTCTACTCTTGGGATTTTGGGCACACACTCGCTGTACTTTTCAAATCAGTGGTTCCAGGACTCAAACTGCATAGCTGGCCACATGAGATCTGCCTTAATAACTACGCAACTGGCTGGTCCCAAACCCTAGCTTTCTCTTCTTTGTTGTTACACAGTTAAATGTTACAACATACTTACTTGTTAGTTTGTAAAATCGGAAAGACTGTGTTTCCCACACCACAACCAACCTGCAGAGAGAAGCAAACTATTAATCACAGAACTTTCCAAAACTTAATTCCCCAATGCCAGATAAATAATTAATAATACAGAACCTTGCCTAATTACTGGGTCACTGGAAAAGTCATGGCACATTTTTGCATAGAAAAACATGTCATGATTTTTCCGATGACTCAATATATCAGGAAGTTGTAGCGAGCAGAGTTAAACAGCACCTTTAATACTCCCTCATCTTGACTTCAAGAATTCTTAAAGAGGCAGATGTAAAATAGGCATGAGTTTTCATTAGCAAAAAGAATTTGTCTAGATAAAAAGAGCATGGAGCAGTGCAGTTCTAGTGCCAGACTTGGCGGTTTGAAAATCATGTTGGGCGAGGACCAGCAGATGGTATAATGGTTCCGTTGCTAGACTCCCATGTAGTTGACCATGGTTCGAGTCCTGAGTCCTGGACTTGGCGGTCCTCCCTGAGAGGTGATTTCTCACTTTCTGTCTCTCTGGTGACCACATGTGCGCTATAGCAAATCTCTCTTTATAATAAACAAACAACAAAAAAAGAAGCAGCAGAAAATCATGTTGGGCATGGGTGTATGCATGCCCAAAATTCTGAGGAGAATGGAGAAGGGATTGTGGTGTAGTCAACCCCCGGGGGGTAGATTTCTCACTGTCCCTGTCTCTGTTGAACACATGCACCCATTAGCAAAAACCTTAAAAAAAAAAAGAAGAAGAAAAAAAGGGCTTTTGAGTTATAGCTAATGGCTCTGTAGGTGATTAATACGCATATTTTTTTGTAATTTCCCAGAGGGCATGTGCGTCTGCCCCAAAGAAATGGAGTGCGGGGTGGTGGAGAGAGAGGGAAAGTGAGAAAGTTTCCCTCGTCTTCCATCACTACCTCTTTTTGGGATTTTGATCATGTATGCATACATACCTGGCCTGTCTCTCAAGACTTCAGGTCTGGGGCTTTGCCCATACTAAAAGTCAGGTAGAATCTAACTGCTTTAACCACACCACTGGATGACCCCATGCATTTTCTTATTAAGTTCTACTATATCATTATCAGGAAGATTATTCCAATAGACTGAGTGGAAAAACTTATGAAAAGGGGGCACCAGCAGGTGGCGTAATGGCTATGTTGCTGGACTCCCACGCAGTCGCATCCCGGACCCGGTGGCTTAAAACTCACGCTGGGCACGTGTGCGTGCATGCCCAAGATCCTGAGAGGAGAATGGAGGAGAAGGGACTGCGGTGTGGCAATCCCCCCTGGGGGGTGACTTCTCGCTTTCTGTCTCTCTGTCTCTCTCTGTCTGGCAAGCGCATGTGCCCTATAGCGAAAACCTCTCAAAACAAACAAACAAACAAACAAAAACCCAAAAACAAACAAACAAAAACTTATGAAAAGGGGATCACGATAGACCAGCCCAGTGGTGTGTGGTTAGGGTGGCTGGATCCCACATGGCCAACTACGCAGTTCAGGTACTGGATCTCATGGCTTGAGAAACATGCCAGGTGTGTGCATGCATGCCCAAAATCATGAAAAGGAGAAATGGAGAAGGGAATGTGGCATAATCAGCCCTATAAGGGGTGCTTTCTTACTTTCCCTCTCTCTCCTGTGAGTAGTGTCCTCTGGCAAAATTTAAAGGGGAGGGGGCGTGGTAACCTTGCCCTACAGCTGTGCTGACAGCAATCATATACTAAGGGTTTAACTATGTGCCAGACATCATACTTTACTTTTCTCTCTCTCTCTCTTTTTTTAAAAAATAGATTTTTGCAATAGGGCCTGTGCATTCGCCAAAGAGAGAAAGACAGAAAGTGAGAAATCATCCCCCAGAGGGATGGCCATGCTGCAATTCCTTCTCCCCTTGGGATTTTGGGCACGCACACACACAAGTGCCCAACGTGAGTTTTAAGCTACCAGGTCCAGGACTCAAACCGTGGTTGCCTACAGGAGTTCAGCAAAGTAACCATTATGCCATCTGCTGATCCCTGTACTAGCTTTTTACATGCATTGTTACAGTCCTCATAGCTATGAGGCAAGGAGTCAACCATCCGACTCCTACAGGAAGGTAAGGGCTTTGTTCAAAGTGATGCCATGGGATTTGAACCCAAGGTTAATAACACACAGAATTAGCTTCCAGTGGATTGGGTAGTCCGCATTTGTAAACTTACATTATCATACCCTCTAGATGCTTTTCCTGGTCTAGTCTCTGTAAACTCCCAAAGAGGATATGAATTCTCCCAGGTTTGAGATATAACCATCTCATTTACCCTGTCCATTCTTTTTTGTTTGTTTTTTTCTTCTTTTTGGAGAGGCTTTTGCTATAGGGTGCGTGCGCTTGCCAGAAAGACAGAGACAGAGAGACACAAAGCGAGAAATCACCCCAGGGGGGGATGGCCATGCCGTAATCCCTTCTCCTCCATTCTCCTCTCAGGATCTTGGGCACACACGCACACGTGCCTGGCATGAGTTTAAGCTGCCGGGTCTGGGACTCGAACTGTAGTCGACTACATGGGAGTCCAGTGACATAGCCATTATGCTAACTGCTGGTCCCCCCACCCCTCACCCCATCCATTCTTATTAAAAAAAAAAAAAAAAAAAAAAAGGCACAAAAAACATTTATTTATTTGCCATGGTTTGCGACCAAGAAGTCCAGGATCTGAACTGTAGTTGGCCACGTGGAGTTTAGCACCTTAACCACCACCATACCACCTGCTGGCCCCTACCCTGTCTATTCCTACCATCGTATTAGAAATGGACTAACAATAACAAAGTGTTTTATGATCTAGAACTTTCTTCTTCTTTTGTGCTATAGGGGTGTATATTTGTGGAGGCTGAAGGCCTGATCTTGGACTTTTTTCCAGAGGGACAGCAGTATCACCACAAACTCGTTCCCATGTATGAGACAGGCTGAGCATAACACAACTTTCAGAGTTAATGTGGTGTTTCTTGGGGCCAGAGGTGGTGCAATGGTTAAGGCACTGGACACTACCAGATGGCGACCATGGTTCGAGTCCTGGATCTGGTAGGTTGCTTTTTCACTTTCCCTTTACTTTTCTCTCTCTCTGGTCAAATTAAAATAAATGAACGAATAAATAAAATTAAATAAATAATTCTTTATTAAGAAAAGGTGTTCCTAGGTTGTACCTAAGGTGATCTGTCTTTGTCTGCCAGAACCATCAGTTATCTAGTCTGTACTCAGAGAGTTTTATTACTTCAAATGCAGAGATGATTCCAGGCCAGTAAGTTGAATCTAGCCAACTTCATGGGAAGTCATGTTGTGTTCTGTTTCTCCACGTGTACAATATGATCATGTATAGCCCATGTGCACAATATGAACACCTCCCTAACTGCACCACCGAGACAACGAAAGGAGGGTACCTCGAGTATTCGGTAGGTGGCTGAAGATCCAGGAAACTCATGAGCACACACTTCCAGGTGACTGAATTTCTGGGTCACATTCTCCTCCACAGGAGGCATCTGTGTAGTATGTCCAAGGCAGTCTGAAGAACATTTGTGCTGTTCTGTTTCTAAACCGGGTCCTTCACTCTTCTTACTTTCCAAGAGCACATCTTTCAAGTAGTTTTGTTCTGGGCTAGGTGCCAGCTCAGGAAATTCAGTAAAAAGCCAGTGTCTATCCTTGAAAAACCCATTTTCATGAATTTTGTAGAAGTCATTCCAGTATTTGTGGGCATTGACCTCATAATCAACTGTAAATATTTAAGAAAGAATTTTAAGAACCAGTTCTCAATTATCTTATTTATATCTAATATCAATTATCCTGTTTCAACAAATGTTATTATTATTATTATTATTATTTAGGTTTTTGCTATAAGGCCTGAGCGTTAGCAGGAGACAGACAGAAAGCAGAGAGAGGGAAAGTGAGAAATCACCTCCGGGGATGGGCATGCCGAAATCCCTTCTCCTCATTCTCCTCTCAGGATTTTGGGCACACATGCACATGTGGCCAGAGTGAGTTTAAAGCCACTGGGTCCTGGACTTGAACTGCGGTTGGCCATGTGGAAGTCCAGCTCCTTAATCATCATGTCACCTGCTGGCCCCATATCAAAAGTCATTTTATACAAAAAGTATCTTTATGTAGAGCCATAGTTTTACAGTTGAAATGATTTTCAAGTTTATTTAGTTCTTCCACCTTTCATTATACTTGATCCCCATTCATTATTCCCAGAGAGTCTAACTTGTGCTTGAATCATCAGTTGGGGGAACTTATAACCTATCAATTCTCCTCTACATCTTTGTATGGCTCTCAACTATTAAAGAAAATGCTAATATTAAACCCAAATCTGTCTAATCACTTCTAGTAAAAAGGCTCTCTCTTAGGGCCATACAAGACAACTCTTGTGTATTTAAAAGTAGTTAGTTCTCCTTCTAAATCTTTTCTTTTACAAACAAAATGTCCCAGATTCTTCAACTGTTTCTAATACACACTTAATGGTTACCATCCAGGCAACAATTCTTCAAATATATCCCTTTATATGTAGTTCTTTAGAATGCAGAGCTCCTAAATGAATTTAATATAACAAACAGACACTACAAATGGAAACAAGGCTAAGAGGGAAACAAAAACTAACAAGAGAGGAAAATACCTTCAGGTAAGAAGTTCTGAGGACGGAAAGAGGTTTTTGCTATAAGGTATGTGTGCTCGCCAGAAAGACAGAGACAGAGAAGAGAACAGAAAGCGAGAAATCACCCCCTGGGGTTGGGGTGGATGGCCACACCACAATCCCTTTTCCTCTATTCTCCTCTTGGGATCTTGGGCAGACATGCACACGTGCCCGGCATGAGTTTAAGCTACCAGGTCTGGGACTCAAACTGCGGTTGACTACGTGGGAGTCCAGCAACATAGCCATTACGCCAACTGCTTGTCCCAATTGTGATCCGTTTTAAAAAATGCTTCTGTTGAAGGTGATCAAAGCAGTCCGAGATTTTGGCATAATGTTCTTTGCCAATATTGGGCCCTGACAGATATAATAGAAAAAGTAAAAACCTAACAAATTAGATTTTAGTTCCACTATGCTACTATTGACCATTTACCTATGGACAAAACACTTAAAAGTCTTGTAGTCCAAATTTCTTCAACTCTAAAAACAGAATATGAACTGCATTACTTTCTTTTTCCTTTTACGTTTATTTCTTCCATGAGTGAGCGAGACAGAGTGACAGACAACATCCTCAGCAGGATCCTGGTGCCGCGATCCACCCCCACCAACCCTGGCCTTCAGCAGACCTGGATCACAGGCAGGCATGTGCCCTGCACACTCAGGTCTCTGGGCTTGAAATGGGAACCTTCCCATGTGGCACTGCCTCACAAAGCCTTATGTTTTACTGCTGTGCTGTCTGGTCCCTACCTGATTTTCAAAATCTTTTTCAGTGCCAATATACTTTGATCTAATCTCCATCGAGCTATGTGGGGTGAAAATGTCATAAATGGAATTTTTTTTAAGTGTGATTTTTGCTATAGGATGCGTGTGCTCGCCAGAGAGACAGAAAACGAAAAATCACCCCCCAGTGGGCATGGCCATGCTGCATTTCCTTCTCCTCTACTCTCCTCTTGAGATCTTGGGCACAGCGCACATGCGCCAGGTGTGAAACTGAAAAAACAGGATTTTTTCATAGTTGTGCAGAAATCTTTTGGTGAGTGCTACTGTCAAATTTCCAGTCCTACTTTCAATTGTCTCTTAGGATATAGGGCCAACAAATCCTAATTTCAGTCCCAGGGGATAGTTTGCAGTGAAATCATCCATCTCTGGAGGAGTGGTCTCTTTATTTTTCTTGGCCAGACTTATCTCTACTCTGCCTTATCCACCTTTCCTTGACACTAAATCCTCATACCCACCACACACAAAAAATGCACATAATAACCAGTCCTTAGACTTCTCTCCAAACAATATTTAGAGTCTGATTACTTGATTTTTGCTTCTGTGGCAACCTCTCTTCAAGCAATCTGTAAAATTAAGTATAAAGTACATCCTCTACGATTATCTCAGGATCACAGGTTGCTCTAGGCCTGCTGTATCAACATCAGTCTATTCAACACAATTAAAGTTTCAGTACTAGCAAATAATAGACACTCACCGTTCCACAAACAAGTATAATCACGAAAAACACCTCAAACCCAAACCGCCAAACAAAATATTCTCTACGCCCTCCCAAGATTTTGTTCAAGGGGAGCCCTCTTTCCTCCTTGCCCACCCCTCTCACTCCCGTCCCACGCCCAAGTTCGGCATTAGGCCAGTGCTGTAACAAAGGCTTTCGGTGGCCGCGGCTCTCCAACCTTCCCCGAAGAGCGCGTCCAGCAGTGTGCCGGCTGGTGACAGCACTGAGGGTCCACCTGGGCGCACCTTGTTTCTCCTGGCACACCCGCTGGATGCTGTTCTCCTGCACTTTCCTCTCCGCCGCCGCAGCCTGTTCTTCCGACCACTCCACGTTGTCCCTGGGAAAATCGAACGGGAATCTTTGGGGCTTCACCTCCTGGCTGCCGGCAGGCGCTGGCCCAGAAGCGCCTCTCTCCTGGGAGGAGAGTGCCCGGGATTGGACAGCGGGACTCTTAGCCAGCGGTCAGGGGCTTCTCGGAGCGCTTGGGGCGGGGGGCGAGCCACAGGCCGAACGGGGGGCAGGGTGGTTACCAGGCATTGTGGTGGAAGACGCGCGCAGGATCGTTCAGAAACCGGCTCCCGAACTGCTGTCTCTTCCCGCTGAGGGCAGCGGGCCCGCCTTGAAGACTGGAGCCGGCCATGACACCGGAGCCGGAAACGCCTTTCTTTCCGTAATACGAGACCTACCTGAAGGCCACGCCCTCTTCCGGAAGGCCCGGGATTCGGGTGGTGGGGGGGAAATCTAGGCGAGACTGGGCGGGGCGAGGAGAGAAGTAGAAAGGAGGAGAGAAGAGGTGGGGCGAGGCGGGGCGAGGAGGGATGGGGCGGGAAGCGGGTACGCAAGCCCCAGTGGAGCTGGCTCTGGTCGAGGAAGAGCTGACTAGGGAAGGAATGCAAGCAACAGAATTTGTCCCCCAGGAGGCGCTGGTACACTTGCAGACTGGAAGAATGTGGGAGACGTTCCACTGCAGTTCCAGTTTAATGCTGGGATCCTCTAACTAGTTCGCGTTTTCCTCAAGTTGCATGTCAAGAAAATCTTAAAAAATCTTAAAAATCTTTTAAAAATCCAAGTTTTTAAAAATTTTATAACCATTTACCTTTTTGAATAATCAATATGTGGGCTTATTGGCATAATTGAGATTGTAATACACAAATACACAGTTTGTTATATGAATACATTTTCAGCCTTACATATTACTACAAATTGATTCTCACAAGAATCTAGAAGGTATGCTATCAACATACGGTTAGTTGAGATTACTTCCAAGAGTAGTATGTTGGCTACCACTTGGAAGAGAGGGAAAAAATTATTTAGTTGAGGGCCAGCATGGTGTTAGGGAGTTGTACTCCCTTATATCCAAACCATTGTTCAAGTCCAAGACCTGGCGGCTTGCTTTCTAACTTTCTCTTTCTCTCTGCTGAGTGCATGTGGCCTACATAAAAAATTAAAATAATATAACAAAATAAATCATTTAAAAATTATTTAGTTAATTGGTTTCATTAGTGCAGCACACTGATAACTAGGGATTATGATTCCGTAGCAGATACTTAAAAAAAGAAAAGATAGGATCTGGTGTGTTGCCCGGGCTGGCCTCCAGCTGATGATCCTCTGCCTCAGCCACCCCAAGTGGCTGGGATTACAGATGCACTCCTGGCCATGCCTTCAGGTTGGGTGGGGCAGAGTATCTTAGCAGTGCGCCACCTCAGCTGGACCCCAATTGCAGATTCTTTCTATAGGTAAAACTAAGGAAGCAGTAAGAAATTCTATTTTTCCAACCAGAGAAATAGGAAGAAGCTCTAAGCCTCCTCTAATCATGAGGAAAAATAGGAGAGCTGGGGCCAGCAGATGGTGTGGTGGTTAAAGGTACTGGATTCCCACATGGAATTTATTTACTGACAGTGGTTTGAATCCTAGACCTGGTGGCTTGCTTTCTCGCTTTCCCTTTCTCTCTCTCTCTGGTCAAATTAAAAAATAATAATGACAAATGGAATTAAATAATTATTTTAAAAATATGAGAGTTGGGGGCTGCAGGTGATGTGGTGGTTAAGGGCGCTGGACTCCCACATGACTGTCCATGGTTTGAGTCCCAGACCTGGCGGCTTGCCTTCTCACTTTTCCTCTCTCTCTCTCTCTCTCTGTCCCTCTCTAGTCAAATTTAAAATAAATGAATAAATAAAGTTAAATAAAATGATTCTAAAAAAATCATGAGAGTTAATAAAAAAGATAGTGGAGAACTTGCACTTTATTTGAAGACAAAATACTTTTGCCATTCTCAAGGTTTTTTGAACATTTTGAACATTTTGAACAAAAACTTCATTCTAAAAAACAAGTGGAGAACTTGCACTTTATTTGAAGACAAAATACTTTTGCCATTCTCAAGGTTTTTTGAACATTTTGAACAAAAACTTAATTCTATAAAACAAGTACAGGATTTCTATCTTTTCAAAGACCAGCTGTTTGCAGATATGGTGGTCGATTTATATTTATTTTTGGCATCTTGTTCTCTCATCCACAGGCTTTTTTCTCCCCCAATCAAAAGCTGTTAGTGTTCCCAATCAACAACGCTGTTGCATATTTTCTTGTAGAGAGCTCACCGTCTTCACTTGGAGTTTGTTACTATATTAGTTCCAATAATTACAGCTTCTTAAAATGTCAAACGGCTTAGGAGGACCTTTTTGTAAAATCTGCTAAAGCATCTTAAACTTGATTTTATGCAAGTATCTTTGGCCTGTAGAACTCATTTTTCTCCATGATTTTAAGCACCTAAAATAATTTTCTGGAGGATGTTGGACAGTATGACCATGAGTTCCTTTTGGTATCAGACTTTATATTGGACTATAGCTTCTGGGGACATTGTGTTTCAGAGGAGCTAAGGGTCCCCCTGGTGGTAAGTAACAAGAATTCTTCTAGCTCAGTGAGTGCCATGGATTTAAAGCTTGTGAAGGTTAAAAACTCTCATTCTGGGGAACAGAAGTGGGCATAATGGCTATGTCGCTGGACTCCCATGTAGTTGATCGTGGTTCGAGTCCCAGACCCAGTGGTTTAAACTCATGTTGGGCGCGTGTGCATACGTGCCCAACATGCACCCGTGCCCAAGATCCCGAGAGGAGAAGGGATTTCAGTGTGACCATCC